ACTACTCTAAAGTAACCCCATCATAACAAACATATTCAGTGCTGAAGAATTCAGTGCAGCTCAACCTGCTGGCTGGTGTTACTCTGAACATCTGCAGAGAACCAGTGACAGCAAAGATGTATAGCCCAAATCATTAAAAACAATAGATTAAGTGGTTGAAGAATGTGGAAGCAAACCATGAAAGCTATAGGATACTACACAAGAATCAAGAAAACCAAGAAAGAAAACCCAGCTGGAAGGACTGTGTCTAGAATGGGAAACAAGTATATCACATTAGTAGATCATGTCAGAAGATTAAAAATCAAATATATATCAGGTTGAACTGTAGTGATATATTGAGATCTGACAGGTGCATTTCCAGCACAACTGAGACAGATTGGATCTACTCGAAAAGGAGCTGTTACTGAGTCACCAGTATCACGCAAAACAGCTTCTCAAACTGCAGCAGAAAGAAGCTGTTTCACAGTTGCTTCAGCTTCTGGACTTCAAGATTTAGAGAAAGGCAAAGTGACATTCTTACCTACTGCACACTTCGAATCAAGAAGCTGAGCGTAAGGAAGGATAGATTTGATAGCAAGAACATGGATGCAATAATTTCCAGGAAAACATATTGCAGAAAAGCAGGCATTTTTGTAATAGCTCATCACCAGTTCTTAAATTTACATTTAGATCTCAAAGCTACTATGCAGAACAAGGAGAGGTACTAGCCCAAAAATCAGGAAAGAAAGCTCTTCTATCCATCTTTTGTTGGTTCTGACAAGACAACAGCTTCAAGTCATTGAAATTATCTGTGGAGCCCAGTGGGTGTAGATCATTTTGCCACAGTACATGAACCTGAACACATCATTGCCATACACTGCACAAACACTCAACTCCATTTGTAAGTAACAGATGGGAGGTTATTTCTCACTTTCAGTTCAAGTATGATTACTAAAAACTTGTTCTGGAAGAGAATGAAGCCACATTTTATTAGCAATATCGGGCCTGCTCTTTTTCCTTGGAATCGTCAACAAAAATTTTTCTCTGAAGATGACTGTGTGTCAGAGAGCTGGCTGATCAGCTGCAGATACACTTTGCTTAATCATCAATGGGCAGTTTTGGAAGCTTAAGTTCTTCAGCAAACATTACACAAATAAGCCCAAACATACACTTTATACTTCCCAGATGAAAAGTATTTTCATATTTAGAACCAGGTGTGAGACTATTTCAAAGCAATGGGATTTAACTCCAGTATCCTTTTCAATGACCAACTCAAATTCTCATGCTTGTTTTGCAAAATTAAAACCAGGTTAGTTTTATAAAGGAATTTGCAAGTTATGACACGACCCAGATTTCTCCAAGAACAAAGAATCCGCAGATAAGATTAAAGGGAAACACAAGGGAATTTGTGTCATTAATATCTTGTGAAGCTATTAGGACCAGATTGTGATAAGCTCTGCCCAGGTGCAAATGGAACCCAGATTCTCTCAACCACAGTGATGATTTCTGGTTTCATTCCAACTCTTCAGGAAGGAGCTTCCTGACTATTCTCAGACAGCACCTTAATAAAGAGCTGCAAGTCATGGGAAAAAAAAAAAAAAAACAAAAACAACAGGACATTCCTGTCACAAACAAGTTCTACTTCTTCACACCGTCCTAGCCACACACACACAAAAAAAGAAAAAAGCTCACTTCAGACTGTGTGACCAAAGCCCTACAAGTTTGTGCTTTTTTATTATTCTAACTCACCTTCTTTGGCAGGAAATGGACTCCAACAGAGTATTTGTCACTATTTGTCCACAGCTCAATCTGTGCCAGCACCTGGTTGGTGAAGGAGTTGCTCATGACGAAGCTAGGGTGACCCATGGCACAGCCCAAATTGACCAGTCTGCCTTCTGCTAGCAGTATAATATGACGACCATTCCTCAATTTATAGCGATCCACCTGGGAAAAGAGCAGTGAAAGGTGAGGACACAAACAGCATTTTAAGTCACGGAATCACAGGGGCTGGAAGGGACCTCAAGAGGTCATCAAGTCCAATCCCCATATAAAGCAGTACCCTACAATAGGTAGCACAGGTCAGCATCCAGACAGGTCTTGAATATCTCCATAGAATTCATGCAAAACTCGGTGGGCTCCCATCCCACATCAACAATTCAGCAATGGGTTTATGATGCAGACTTTCATTACAATCAAGATGCTCCTCACCGTTCCCAGCCAGAGTTCAGTAAGGCTCATAACTACTCTGGACTTCACACTACACACATCTTAGCATCTGCTTCATATTTAATCAGTTATCCTGTTCTTCTGGTTCTTTCACATGCATACCATCTCAGGTGTCTGTGGCAGGGAACATGCTGCCTGCAGGAAGATGTAATTCATATACACTTAATTATAACTGCTAGCGTGGAGAGAGAGGAGAAGCAGCACCTCTGTGTGCAACAGCCCAGAACATTTGCACCTGAAACACAGGTAAGGGCCAGATTTTGCTGAGCCTTCTGAAATTATTCCCCAGTGAATCCTCCCACCTCAGTAATGCCTTGATATACAGTCAAGACATAAACAGTTTGTCCTCCAGGTACAGGCTGCTACAGGCATCTACCAAATCCTTGGCACCACCTTCTAGGAGGCCTGAAAACACTTATGGTTTGACAGCTCACCTCCCACAATGACACCAGGCCTAAGTGAGAGCAAGACAAGTCCCAAAGTCAAAACACAAGGAGATCTATCCACTTATCAAGCAATCCACTTATCAGGTTACATGCATAGCTGAAAAGAATTGGTAAATTAAATGGCTGTCCTAGACTCTGGTGTACACTCTTTGCTTTCAGGGAGAAAGATTCAGTCTTCCATTCAGGCTGATTTCCAGGCTGTGCCAGGGACAAAAGGACAGGCAAACAAGGGCTAAGGAGACAGGTGCTCAGTTACACAAGAGCCCCAGAGTTCAGGAGAGACTGTCACTTCATATGTGCCTAAACTGTCTGGGCTAGACTGGAATCCTGCAATGCCTATGCTAGCTCTGCTTCCCCCTCCTGCCAGTTGCTAGCTCTTCTCTCCCTTGCCTTCACCCTGTAGAAAGGAATTACATTAAATATTAAAGCCTAAAATGAAATGACAATCTGGACTGTAAGTTATAAGAATATTCATTATTCCCTGCTATTTGCTGTTCATCTATTATGTCAAGCACGTGGAAGCAGACTAAACCTTTGAAAAGACTGAAAAGGTAACAGTAAACTTTGTTAAAGGTTAACAGTGTTTTACACAAATTTTGCAGTCATAGCATAGACACCTGCCAGACTTAAAAGGGTTCCTTTCCTGCAGCTGTATTTATACTTTATGTCTCAAAAGGGAATATGAAGCAAAATACAAGCCACTTAATTTTGTTCTTAAAGCTTCAACCCATAGGTTAAAAGCCATGCTGAACTAAGTTTTATTTTTAATAATTCTGCTTTCAAAAAAACAAACAAACAAAAATAACCTTTATTCAGTTTGGAACAGATAATTTAAACTAGCAATGACCATTTTACCAGAACAGGTACTTCACTTTCAGACAAGATCTGGGCCTCTACTTATCTTCCCCAGCTGTGATTCAATCCCAATACTCTATTTCTGGGGTTTGTATAATACAGATTACTGTCATTAGCACGTACGTAGTCAGTAACCATCTCAAACAGAAGCTCCGAATAAAACTCTTTATTTTTCCTACCCAAGAGCAGTACAGCAAGGTAAGGCTAGCAAGAATTTCCTTTCACTAAGCAGCTGCAGTATATTTCTTATGGATGCTAATTCTCCAGTGTGGATCACTAGTGACAGCTCTCAGTTCACCCCAAAAATACCACGTGCACCATCAGAAGACTATGGGAGGGAGAAACAAAACAAAGAAGGAAGCAGACAAATCAGAATGCTAAAGAAAAAAAACCTACAACAACATGGTTTATAGTAAACACTGTTTACTGCTACAATTAATTTTCACTTAATTGTAACACTGCTGCAATTAAGTTTCAAGGTTTGAATGTGGTTCTGTATCTATACACTGACCCAACAAATCCCTGGGCAGCTGCTGGATGGTGCATGGAATCTCACACCTTTGGCCATCTGCTGACACGACCGATTCAGTGCACAAGGTAATGTGGAATAATGCAAGTCCATGTCTTTGTATGGAAAGAAATGCAGAATAGTAAAGGTCTAAGCCAGTACTGTGAAAACAAGCCTAAGCTACAGACAAACCAGCTGCTTTACAAGCTCAGTAAGCTGCTAGAGAATTAGAGTTCCAGTTATCCAACTGTTAAGTTCATCTCCATATTTATACAAATGCCTCCTCTCTCTCCCTATCTGCACTTAGCTTACCCTGGACTCTTTGGTTGCTTTGCACTTCCCTCCAGACAAAACATGATATATACATAAGTGACTTATTTGCAGAGTCAAAGCTCATTATTCCCACCCTGACCCTTCCTCCTCTTCAAGAGCTGAGTTCATGCTACACATTAATCTAGTACCAGAACTGCAAGCAGATACTCAAAACAACCTGCCAGCTTTTCAGGAATACGCCTATTTTCTCCTTCTTTGAAAGCACCAGATGAGTCAGAATGGCACATTAAGACATTTTCCTTTCCCAAGTATTAAAGATTTCTTCTGCCAGCTCATCACTTGCAAATAGGGACCATATGATACTGAAAATTACAACATTGGACACTGTTTCACAATTACACTTTACCTCTAGCTGACATCTAACAACCAGACGCTCAGCTCTGGTAATAATAATCCTCAGGATCAAAAGACAGATGTCTTCATAGGAGGTTTTGATCACAGATTTTTGCTCTTCCTTTATATTCCCCTCCTTGCTACAGGATATAGAAAAAGCTGCCAAGTATTAGTAAAAATTCAAGTCAGTACTTGGTATTATAAAAGCATGTGGGACTTCTCACTTGAAGTGAAAAAATTCTAAGGGTTAGTGCAAGATATCACACCTTTAACACAGGGTCTGTCCTCTACTTGAGGCCCCCTTTTAGACTAGGGAGAAGACATTAATCTAGCAGGGAGGACACCATGATCAGGAAGGTGGCTTTCCCAGGGCAAGGCTCATTTACATGCACTCCAGGTGTGCTGACCCCTGTGATTTCCCCAAATGCAGGAAACTAAATTGCATTACTAGTGGGGGGCAAGGGGGAAATTTTTTTTCTTGGTGGATGAAAAGCTGGGCTTTGTCCCTCTTAGTGCACAAGAAGGATGCAGAGCTGTTGGAGTGGGTCCAGAAGGTCACAAATACAATCAGAGGGCTGAAGAACCTTTGCTATGAAGAAAGGTTGAGATAGTTGGGCTTGTTTAGCTTGGAGAAGGGTCAGGAGAGACCTCACTGCAGCATTCCATTACCTGAAGGGAGTTTATGAGCAGGAGGGGGAGTGACTTTTTGTATGGTCTGATAGTGATAAGACAAGGGAGAATGATTTTAAACTAAAAAAGGGGAGATTTAGGTTAGATATGAGGGAGAAATTCTTTACCCAGAGGTGGTGTAGCCCCAGCACTGTTGCCAAAAACTGGATGCCCCATTCCTGGAGGTGTCAGAGATCATGGCTGGGCACTGGGCAGCCCAAGCTGGGGGGTGGAGGCAGCCAGTCCTTAGCAGGAGGGTGTGAGCTTGATGATCTTTAAAGTCCTTTGCAACCTAAGGCATTCTGTCATTCTATGATTCTATGCATGTGTTTGGACTTTTCTCAGTCCACCACTTAGGCCAGAGCAGATTTCTCAGTTGTGTTCAAATTCATCAAAGGAGCATTTTTGTCACAGAACTGTAGAATCACAGAAAGGCTTTAGGTTGGAAGGGACCATAAAGACTACCTGGATCCAATGTCCTTCCCACGGACTTGGTTGCCATCCACCAGGATCCACCAATTCTAGTTCCAGTGCAGATGAATTCCGATGCTGGTTGTGAGGGATTGAAGCTGCAGGATACTTCCTTGTTCCTAAACCCAAAGTTATATCCTATCTCCAGCAGTAAGCAGTAGGTAGATAAGGAAGAATACAACAAAAGCCAAATTTCCCAATAAATCCTCTCAGCTTCATCTATCTCTAGATTAAACTGAGACAGAGGCGGTTCATTCAGGGATGGTTGTTTTTTTTGCTGTTGTTGTTTTAAAATATTACAAACTTCAGCTAAATATTTTTAAATATACATTTTCATGTCACCTACGGCATCCTGGATGACATCCTGTGTTAACAGGTCCATTTTTTTGGGTCACTCTGAACCTCCTGCTCGCAATAGTGATGGTTTACAGAACACAACAGAGATTTAGGATAGGAAGGAGGTAAGTCTTCAGCATTAAACCATATGGGCTACTTTGACCCTAACTCCAATCTTTTAAAAATAAAAGATTTGTTTTGAACCATACACTTTTAATAGTTGTACTTGCACTACACTGCATCTCACTGTTCAGGGTACCTAATATATTAGTGACAGGCTTGGCTCCTGACAAGAAAAGGGACTGCTGCTTTCTCGAACACTAATATTCAATTTTTCACATGGATTTTAAGAGCCACACTCAATAGTTGTGGGCAGGTAGTTTGTATGTTACTACAGTAATATCTATTCCAGCCTTTGACAACGTTTATAAATAGTCCCAATTTTAAAACCTTTTAAAACCTGAGCTATCCAGAAGCAAGCAGCTAGCTACAGGTTCTTCTAGGACAGAAGCTAGGGTGAAGTCAGCCTTACACTAAGGTCATGGGAAAGAGCAGGCACAAACATAGTGAGAACTTGAAAGTATAACTTCATACTTCTCATTTACTGCCACAACAACAAACATGACACTGCAAAGACTCTCACAACTGCTTAGCAAGAGTTTGATGTGGGTGGCCAATAAGCCACAGGAGGGTCATGAAATTTGGAAGGGTAAACAGATCTACTAAGACATACATCTAGATATAATTAAAGGTAAAAAGTAAAAAACCTGTCTGAGAATCCCACTGTGAGCAAAAGTTACCACTTCAGAAGGTAATCAGAAGTTCTATACCAAGTTAGAAAGGGCCTGGTTAGCCTCAGGTGATGTTCTTCAACGTCTGTGTTACAAACAAGTTTTAATTTAGTGTTGTTTCTCTGTTTAAGGATACAGCTGAAGAGTTGGAGTTTTTAGATCCCTACTTTTCCATGTGACTACTGCCATAGTTTGAAGAAAATACATGGTGGGAATGCAAGCTGAGCAAGGATAAAACATCCTGCCTTCTCTGCCCACACACAGACTTCTGGCCTCCACAGGTTTCTAAAATGAAGCCACTGAGTCTGGAAGAGAAGCCTGAATTTGGCAAAGCTCCACATAGGCTTCAATTTCAGAACAAAAAATGCTTTGAAAACAAAGGTGTGAATTTTTCAAACCTTGGCAGAACCCCAGAAGACATTTCCTTGAGATTCATTCTAATACTAGCACTCTGCATTAGACCTAAGACTGTTCTGGTGCAGGGAAGCTACACAAGCAACTTCCTTGGAGGAAACTGAGATCAGCCACCAGAGAATCCACAGGCTCTGTTCCTATGAAGTTTTATATGATCTCTAATGGTCTGTTTGTATTCATCATCACCTAGTTTTTTAAACTGAGTTATGGCATTACTTTCAGATGGTGGCTATCAAAAAGCACATTTTCATACTTCATACATCAAGGTCGACCTCCTGTAAGGAACGAATTTATACAATCAACTATGAGACCATCACTAAAGAATAGGTTCCTGTTTGCCCAGAAGGAAAGAATACACAGATGTATCCATACTAGGCATCTCTTCTCAGAGACCATGCTGTAAGTCCTGGGCACTTGTTGGAACTAGTTGTTTTAATATCAGTGCAAGAATATTACATGCAGCTTGTCATAGACTAACAGAGCAACACCAGAGCAGAATCTGCATTAAGATTAGCCCAGAACAAACCTGGCTTCCAAAAAAATCAATTAACAATATAAAAGCTAGAATGTAAAGAGTAGAAGCACTTAAAAAGAAACACTTCCCATTCCAGCAGCAGACAATGACTTGCAATCACTCTGTTCTATCAGGATGCCTTCTACATGGGCTGTCTCACCTGAGGTTTAACATTCACCACCTCTACTGCATTTTGATTCAGCCACTTTGCATCAACTTCCACATCAAAATGACCAATATTACAAACTATGGCATCATCCTTCATCTGTTCGAAGTGCCTGAGGGAAGAAAAAAAAAATATCAAAAGTCAATGCACAAAAGAAACATTCCTTTTCCAAATGCAGGAGGTGCTTTGGTCCATAGCTCTGCTCAAGGAGAAATGAAGAGCTCCTAGATCTGCAGTTGATTTTCACAGACATGATGTATGGGTGTAGTAATCATTTAAGCATGTAAAACCTGCAGGGAAAAGTTTCAAGATCCTAGAAAAGGACTCTTCCCAAGGATGGCAGAGGTTATTGAAGATAAATTGTTGTCCCAGTATAGAAAGTTGAATGAACTTTTTTTAGTTGGTCACTACTAAAATAGTGGCAGTTATTCTGTCCTTCCTACACGGAAAGAATCTCTTTCTCCACTACTTTAATATTTCCAGCAGTTTCACATTCCTGGATACTGATGGCTTCATCTCCTCCCACTTAATGTGACCTCATACTACAACATGTACAATCCTAATGGCAAAAACAGGAATGAGTTTGTGTAGAGCAGAGGGACTATAAACTGAGATCTAAGAAGTGACAATAAAAAAGCTGCAGGGCAGTTTATTGAGAACAGATTAGTTTCAAGATTGCTGTGTGTATTCACAGATGGAATCACTTTCAATCTTTACCTACCTTCCTTTCCGTTCACATTTATCAATAGAATTCAGAATAACAGAATTAACAATTAATAACAGAATTCAGGCCTGCCCTCCCATTTTCTTAAACTGCCCATCTTTCTTTTCTGTCCATCTATGCTTTTTGTTTCTCCAGCATTAGGCATTGTAGGACAGGAATAATTGCAACGTGGCAACAATCAACTGAAGTCTCAGTTTCTCATTAAATTAATGCTATCCCTCACCACGCTGCTGACAAGTTATGACTATATATAAATCTAACTGTAGCAGTGTGTTTTCACTGAAGCAAATGACTAGATCATACCTGCCCTGAACAATGTCAGTGCAGCCAGTGGTTGTAACAAAGATATTGCCTTCCTTGCAAGCCTCCTCCATTGTAGTAACTTCATAACCTGAAAATGAGAGAAAAAAAAATTATCTCCCTACCCAATCACCAGATGTTGTTCAAAAATGGGCTGCAAAACTGAGTAAAGCATAAAGAAAAAATTATGAGTAATAGAAGGCTGTGCCAATGCATAATCTGTGGAAAATGCATGTTAGTGGATGTACTTTCCTTACACTAAATACCAAGGCAGCACAAAAACATCTGTATCCCTCACCTACTTCCAGTGTGAGGATCATATGCATCCAACACCCTGCAACCAAAGGTGTAGTGTCTGTACAGCTCTTAGATTGGATTCAGGGTTTGCTTGCCAAAGAAAATGTGTCCACAATACCTGCAGATTCTAATCATGTATGAAAAGAAATGGGATAAACTGGTACTACCCGGAGCTAAATGAAGCAGCCACAGAAGAGTTGGAGTACAGCTCTGACAGTGTGCTGCAAGCACAGCTTCACACTGGAAAGGCAGAGTGGTATTAATTTACAAAAGCATTTAATGAAGACAAGGTCTGCTGTTTTACTATGAAAATATTCTAGTAAGTCTTAACCTACACTGAAGGTAGAATTGTCCAACTTGAAGATAATTAACCCATTCATAACCAGACTTACAGCATTACAAAATAGCAGGCTTTCCCCACTAGTCTTTTTATCTGTGACTCCAAACATATCTTCAAGGCCTACAACAATAGAAGTTGTAAGGAAAGAGTTCGTTGTGTGCTCAGTTAAACAAGAGGAGTGTCACTTCTACAACACAGAGGCTGAAATCCACTGAAACTTTCTCGACTGTCATTTATTGCTCTACATCAACACAGACAGACTCCCTTCAGATGCAGTAATTTCTATACCTTCTGTTCTCACCTTCCATAGCTGCCTGCAGTGCGTTGATGGGATCAATCTCAGTGATGATGACTCTTGCTCCAAAGTTCCGCAGGGCCTGAGCACAGCCTTTGCCCACATCACCATAACCTGCCACCACTGCTACTTTTCCAGCAATCATGACATCTGTAGCACGTTTGA